TTCCCAGGGATTTGGGAATCTCCGGGATGAGGCAAATCCCAAAGGAGAGAGAAGGAATTTCAAGAGGAGTGAGTGTGTGTGAGTGAGGTCATTTCCACATTCTCAACTTCCCAAAAAAAAAAAAAAAAAAAAAAAAATTTCATTGCAGTTTCTCTCTTTTTTTTTTTTCCCAAAACCACAAAAAAAAAAAAAAAAAAATTCCGGGAAAAAAAAAAAAAAAAGACAGAAAAAAAAAGACAAAAAAAAAATCTAAAATATACAGAATTTAAGGGTTCAGCTGTTGCATTTCATAACTGAGGTTCAGGCAGTAAGAGATGGGGAAAAAATGTAGAAAAGAGGGGAAAAAAAAGACAAAAAAATGAAATTTAAGGAAAGTCGCTTTTTTTAGGGATTTTATTTTTAGGGAATGCTGAATGTTTGGAGCTCTTGGCTTGTCCTGCTCAGCAACAAAAGCGCCTTTCCTTCCTTAAATATTCAACTGTGAATGTAGAAATGGGGGAAAAACACAAGTTTTGGGTTGCAGGGAATAGAAAAATCCATTTGTCCAGCGAGTTTCAGGCTTCAAAAATTCCAAAAAAAAATCAAAACTGTCAGGAAAAAAAAATTGAAAATCAGATTTTTTTTAAAAAAAGTGCTGCAAATTGGGAAAAGAGATCTCCTGACTGGGACTGTAGCAGAATCAAAATTGTGCCAAAGAGTTCAAAAAGAGGTGAAAAAAAATAAATAAATAAATAAAAATATGCACAAAAAGAAGGAAGAAAAATTTAAAATTGAGGTGATGTTTGGAGAGGAAATTGGATGTGAAGAAAAACACAAAAAACGGGATTAAAAGTTGTTTCTTTGGAATTATTTGGGGTTTTTTTTTTGCTTTTTCGGGGCTCGATTCGGATCAGGCTCGATGTGGTTTTTGGTCTCTTGCTGCACTTGGAAAAACACGAGATAAAAATAAAAAACAGGAAAAAAAAAAGGAAAAAAAAAGAAATTTATATAAAATATATAAATATATAACTTGAGTTGAGCTGACAACGCCGGCGCTTGTAAAAGGTTTCTATTTTTCCACTGCAGTTGAAGATGAATAAAATGGTGTCAAACATTCCCCAATATTTTCCTTTTTTTTTTTTTTTTTTTTTTTTTTTGGGATACTCTTGGCTCTTTTCCAGAGGGAAACCCAGGAAAAAATTGGGATTTTTGATTGGATTTTGGGGTTTTTTCCCCAGCAATCCACCAGGAGTTTTTTCTTTGCCGCTTCCCCAATTTCTCGCCGCGTTGGGAGCGGAATTTTTCCTCTGGAAAAAGGAAAAAAGGGGGGAAAAATAAGCAAAAAAAAAGATTTTTTTCTTTCTTAGGAGCTTCAGGGTTTGGAGATTTGGAATTTTCACTTTGTTTGCAGCTCTGAGGTGTCGGGGGAGCTCCTGGGAGGGGGAGCAGGAAAACGGCAGGATTTGCTCCTCAGCCCTTGCAAGGTTTATTTTCATTTTTAGTTTTAGTTTTCCTTTGATTTTTGCCATTTTCCCTTTAATTTTCATTTTTTTTCTTTTATTTTTCATATTTTTAATTTTTTTCTTCATATTTTTATCTTTTCTTTTTCCAGTTTTCTCTTATTTTTCTTTTTTTCTTTTAATTTTTTTTCTTTCCTTTTTCTTCTAATTTTCATCTATTTTTCTCTTAATTCTTTTTTCTTGATTTTTTTTTCCCAGAATTTTTCCTTTAATTTCCTTTTAATTTTTCTTGGGTTTTTTTTCCCTGTTCCTAGTTTTCTGTTTTCCTTTATTTTTCCTTTTTCATTTTTTTGTTTTTCCTTTCCATTTTTATTTTTCTTTTTCCTTTATTTTTTCCACCTTTTTTCATTTCACTTCTATTTCTTTTAATTTTTTTTTAATTTTTCTTTGATTTATTTTAATCTTTCCCATTTTTCACTTTATTCCCATTTCTCTTCATTTTTCCCATTTTTCTTACTCCTCTTTTCTCCATTTTCCTTTTTTCCCCATTTTTTCTTTTTATCCCTCTTTTTCTTTATTTTTCATTTCTTTTTTTTTTCTGTCCTTTTTGCGTTTTCCCGTTTCCCCTCGCTCCCGGCTCGTACAGGGTCTCAGACGTGAATGTGCCTTCAGCTCTGCCCGGGCAGAACCCGCAGAAACCACCCAAAACGTCCCAAAAACCCAAACCTGGGGGCCACGCCTTTTCCTTTCCCGGGGCGGCGTTCCAGAGGTGGAACAAAAGCAGAGGAAAAGGCAAGGAAAAAATTAGAAATATGACAAATTTAATTAAAAAAAGGAAAGCCGTTCCTGGGCGGGAGGAGCCGGGGCCGGGCCCGGTTCTGGTCCTGGTCCTGGTCCTGGTCCTGGTCCCAGTTGTGGTTCTGGTCCTGGTCCCGGTGTGGTTCTGGGCCCGGTTCTGGTCCAGGTTCTGGTCCCAGTTCTGGGCCCGGTTCTGATCCTGGTTCTGGTCCTGGTCCCAGTTCTGATCCTGGTCCCGGTTCTGGTCCCGGTGTAGTTCTGGTCCCGGTTCTGGTTCTGGACCCGGTTCTGATTCTGATCCTGGTCCCGGTTCCGGTTTTGGTCCCAGTTCTGGTTCCGGTTCTGGTCCCGGTTTGGGCCGGGTCCGGTCCCGGCTGAGGCAGTGCAGAATAAACACTGAGAGTAGTGCAAAAAACGGCTCTGGACTCTTTTTTTAGAGTTTTTTTTTAAGGTTTTTTAGGGGTTTTTGGGGGGGTTTCAAGGGCTTTTTTTTTTTTTGGGTTTTTTTGGCTTTTTGAAGGGTGTTTTGGGGCCTTTTTAGGGCCCTTTTTGGGGGGTTTGGGGGCTTTCCTCAGGGGTTTTGAGGGGTTTGTTGTTTGAGGGGTTTGTTCTCTTTCTAAGGGGCTTTTTTTGGTTATTGGGAACCTTTTTTGGGTGGTTTTTGCCTGCTAGCAAGTTTTTTTGGAGGGGTTTTCTTGGGGTTTTTGGGCTTTGGAGGGGTGGGGGCTTTTGGAAGGGTTTTGGGACCTTTTTTGGGGGTGGGCTGGGGGCTTTCCACTCTTTAGGCCTTTCCTGGGGGGTTTTTAGAGGCCTTTTTGGGGTGGTTTTGGGGTTTTTTGGAGGCCTTTTTGGGCCTGTTTTGGGGTTTTTTGGAGGCCTTTTTGGGGTGCATGACAAGGAATTTCCTCCTCACATCCGCCCCTCCTCGATCCCATCGCTGCCTGGGCGTGGATCGGACTCTTCCAGCATCTTTTGGCTTTTCCGGGGGGCTTTTTTGGGCTGCATCACGAGGAATTGGGTGATGCTGGAGATGCCAAATTCCTGGGGATCCCACATTCCCAGAGACCCCGGACTCCTGGAGATTTCCGAATCCCAGCTGGAGACCCCAAATTCCTGAAGATTCGGCTCCGTCAGCAGCTCGAGGCCCCGATCCCACCCTGGGGATCAATCCTCATCCCCCACAGCTCCAGCTTCATTAATTAACCAGTCCATCAAACCTATCAATTAATCAAATAATATAAATATTATAAATAAACCACCCCGGGGCGCTCCTCCAGCTCCACAAAAACCCTGGGAAAACCCCGGGCAGGATCCATTTACTCCCCTCCCAAACCAGACGTTAAAAGCCCGCTTTTATTTTGATTTTCCCTATACATTTTTTTTTTTTAATTTTTATTTTATTTTTTTCCTGCTGCTTCATTTCCCGGGAGCCTCTGCCAGGCTCCGGCCCCCGCTCGGAGACGCCGTGGGAGGGGAGTGCCGAGCTCGCGTTTCCTCTCCGGGGGAGCCGGAGGTGACAGCGCTGTGTCACCAGAGCCATCTGTGCCACCACCCCGCCCGGGGACACGCCGCTGTTCCCGGATCACTCCCGGGATTATTCCCGGGATCTGCAGCTCCCGGGTTTGCCCAGGTCTGGCCTATGGTCTCTACCCGCTAAAAGAGGAGGAAAAGCTGATTTTCTCTGGGAAAGGTGGAAAAAAATGAGTGGATTTTGGAGCCTCGGAGGTGACAGCGCCGTGTCACCAGCTGCCACCGGTGCCACCACCCCGGTGTCCCCCGGGGGACAGCCCGTTATTCCCGGATTATTCCCAGGATCATTCCCAGGATCAGCAGCTCCCAACGCTGATGTGCTGGGCTCCCACCTGAAAGAGGAGGAAAAGCTGATTTTCTTTGGAAAAGGTGATAAAAATGAGCCAGGAGCGGATTTTGGAGCCTCGGAGGTGACACCAGCCGTCTGTGCCACCACCCCGGCCGGGGACAGCCCGTTATTCCCAGATTATTCCTGGGATCAGCAGCTCCCAGCACGGATTCATCCAGGAGCCTTTTCCTGGGTCCGGGCTGATGCTCTGAGCTCCCGCTCCGAGGGAAAAGCTGATTTTCCTTGGAAAAGGAGGGGAAAACAAACCACGGCTGGGTTTTGGAGCCTCGGACGTGCTGCGGTGGCCTCGGGACTTTTCCCAGGCTCTGTCAACCTCTGCTTCCCACCCGGAGGGGACAGGACACCCCGGAGCCCGTGCCACCCTCTGGAATGTGACTCTCCAGCTGGGGAATCCCGGCTTTGCCGTTTTTCTCTTGGTGGCCGAGGTGGTTTTGAATCTTGTGCCAGGCCCTGGAAAGTGATGTCCCCATCCCTGTCCCCAATCCCTGTCCCCATCCCTGTCCCCATCCCTGTCCTCCGGGGAGGGAGGATTTTCCCGTTTTCCCAACATTTCCATGGAGCCCGGCCGCAGGGGCAGCTCCGGGGCTGTTCCCGTCCCTTCAGCCCCTGCACCCCAAATGTCCGGGGGGCTGCAACCCCCCTGGCCCGGGGGGGGGTTCCCTCTGCCCATCCCAAACATTCCAGAGGGTGTCCAAGGGATCCCCCCCAGCCGTGGGAACTTCCCTGAGGCTGCCCTCGGCTTCAAACTTCCCAGGAAAGGTTGGGAAGAGGGAAAAAAGGACACGGGGCACAGAGGGGGGTTCCCCTTTTCCCCCGAGGGGGCTCCATGGCAAACCCAGCCTTGGGAATCCCCTGGGATTCCCACATCCCCCAAATCCCCGGGAATGGCTCAGGTGAGACAATTCCAGCAGCTCGGACCTGTCCTGCCTCCCTCTGCTCCTCCGCGACCCCGCCACAGCTCGGGGGGGGCTCCGCGGTTCGTCCCCAAGGCCCAGGGACCTCCTGTGCCCCTCGGGGGGTCCCTGCATCCATCAGGGATGGGTTTTGTTTCCAAATTAACTTCCGACCTGGCGGAAATCCTTCATTTGCACTTCAAAGCGCCTCGCAGCCAATCCCGGCAGGAGCGGCAGCGGCCGCTGGGATTTTTTTGGGGGCCCGGTTTGCGGCAGATCCCGTGCTGCGGATCCCCGCGGGTCCCGCTGCTGTCCCACCCCAAGGTGACATTCCAGGGGCTCTTTGCCGTCCCAGGCCGCGCGCCGAGGGCGATTCCCTGCTGGAGATTCCAACGGGAACGGCCGCGAAGCCTCGGCGCCCCCCTGGCACTGGCCTCCCAAAATATTCCCGGCCTCGCGGTGCGGTTTTAGCTCCCGGGGGAATCTCCTGGAATCTCGGCATCCCTGGGTGGTGCCCCCCAATGCCAGGGGTCTGCCCCCCCAAGCTCAGGTGCTGGGTCCCCTCCAGGCTCCAGGAATTGGGAATGCCGTGGGCGCTCCCAGTTTGAAGCTTCGCTCCCTTTGAGTCTCCTGCGGGGACCAAACCCCCGAGCTGGATTTTCCAGCGGTTCCTTTTGCCCCGTGGTGACAGAGCCATGCTCGGGACCAGGATTTCCCCGTGCTGACATCTCCAGCTCGGCTTTGGGGCCGGGTCCCCTCGGTGCCCACCCCTGGGGCTGCTCTTCCAGCGCCCTTGGAGGGTTGGGGTCCCGCAGACCCCCCTGGCCCCATCCCTGGGGCTCTGCTCCCCATTCCCGGCCCCTCTGCTGGGGTGGGACGAGGCCCTGGCAGGAATCTTGTGCCACCGGGGCCACCCAGATCCGAGGACGTGTCCGTGCGTGGGTCTGTCCGTGCGTGGGTCTGTCCAGGCTCTGTCCTTGGGCACCGGGCTGGCAGTGACCCCCCCGGGGGTCTGCAGGGTCTGTCCGTGCCGTGGGTCCGTCCGTGCCATTCCAGGCTCTGTCCAGGGATCTGTGAGCCCTGGGGATGGCAGTGACCGCCCCGGGGGTCTGCCCAGGGTCTGTCTGTGCCGTGGGTCTGTCTGTGCCGTGGGTCTGTCTGTGCCGTGGGTCTGTCCGTGCGTGGGTCTGTCCAGGCTCTGTCCTCAGGCCCTGGGGATGGCAGTGACCCCCCCGGGGGTCTGTCCGTGCCGTGGGTCCGTCCGTGCCATTCCAGGCTCTGTCCTCGGCCACCAGGCTGGTGGCAGTGACCCCCCCACCCCCCGGGGGGGTTTTGTCCCCCGGAGCCCCCGGCAGCCGGGGGGCGGGGGCAGGGGGGGAGCCCAGCCCCCACCGCGCGGGGCTGCGGCTCCGCGATGCCGGAGCCCCCCGGGGGTGCAGGGGGCAGCCCCCGGCCCCGCGACCACCCCTGGGGGGTCGGGCGGGCACGGGAGGGGCCGGGGGCGGCGGTGCCCCTCCCGGGGCAGGCCGCGGCAGGGCTGTCGGGGTCCCCCCGGAGCGCCCCCGGCCCGGCCGTGCCCCGGAGGGGGGGTCACAGCCCCGGGGGCGGCCCCGGCGCGTGGCGGGGGAGGGGCTGGCGGCCGCCCGGTGCCCACGTGGTTTGTCGGTGTCTCCGGAGCGGAAGAAACGGCGGCGGGGCCGGGGCTGCGGCGGGGACCGGGAGCGGCAGCGGGAGCCGGCGGGGCGGGGACGGAGCCGCATCCCGGCGGGCGCCGCCGCAGCGCAGCAGCAGCGCCGGTGAGTGCGGGGCCTGGGCCGGGGGCCGGCGGAAGGGGCCGGGGGCGCAGAGCGGGCTGCCCCCGCCCCACCGGGCCTGTCCTCTCCCGCCACAGCGCGACCCCAGCCCCAGCACCAGCCCCATCTGCCCCCGCCGCCTTCACCATCCGTGCCGTGGGTCCGTCCGTGCCATTCCAGGCTCTGTCCAGGGATCTGTGAGCCCTGGGGATGGCAGTGACCGCCCCGGGGGTCTGCCCAGGGTCTGTCTGTGCCGTGGGTCTGTCTGTGCCGTGGGTCTGTCCGTGCGTGGGTCTGTCCAGGCTCTGTCCTCAGGCCCTGGGGATGGCAGTGACCCCCCCGGGGGTCTGTCCGTGCCGTGGGTCCGTCCGTGCCATTCCAGGCTCTGTCCTCGGCCACCAGGCTGGTGGCAGTGACCCCCCCACCCCCCGGGGGGGTTTTGTCCCCCGGAGCCCCCGGCAGCCGCGGCGAAAGGAGAGCAGCTATTAATAACCTGCGCACACAGGGAAAAGATGTGATTCCGTAATGGAAGCGGCTCCGAGAACAATTCACCCCCATCCTCATCCTCACCCCCATCCTCGTCCCCGGCTGGATTCGCATCTTCATCCCCACCCTCATCCCCATCCCCGCTTCCGTGCCCATCTCCACCCGTGCTTCCATCCCGCTTCCATCCCCATCTCCTGCTCCATCCTCATCCCCGTCCCCGGCTCCATCCTCATCCTCATCCCGTCCCGGCTCCGCCCCGGACCCTCCTGCGTTTCCGTCCCCGTCCCCCGCCCGCGACCCCCGGCGCGGTGCGGCCCCGGGCTGGGCGCGGGGGGGCGGCACCGGGCCGGGCCGGGGGCGTTCGGGGACGGTTTCCCGGAGGCTCCGGGGCCGCCGCAGGCCGGACCCCCCCCGCTCACCCTATTGCGACCCCCGTCCGCGCTCCGGGCCTGGCTCCGGGATCGGGGGCGCGCTCGACCCGTCCGCCTTTGCCCGCCGGTTCTGCCCCGGTTCTGCCCCGGTTCCCCGCCGGTTCTGCTCCGGTTCCAGCGGCCCCCCGCCCCCCAGTACCGGGACAGCGCCCGGGGGTCCCAGCAATGAGGAGGGGGCTCGTCCCGGCCGCGCAGCCGAGGGTCGGGGCAGGGGGGGCTGCCCGAGGCCGGGTCCCACCCAGTGCATCCTCCCGACCCCAAAAAGGTTTCTGGAGGGGCCAAGCCCTGTCCCTAAGCCAGCCAGGTGCCAGCGCCCGGCAGCACCTGCAGCCTGGCACATCCCATCCATCCCATCCCACCCCATCCCATCCCATCCCCGTTCCCATCCCCGTTCCCGTCCCCATTCCCACCGGAGCCCTGAGCCGGCCGGGCCCTCCAGCAGTGTCCCAGTCCCAGGGAGCCACAGCCCCATTTTTACTTTTTTTCCAAGCCCCATTTTCGCTCATCCCAAACCCTATTTTTCCTCATCCCAAGCCCCATTTTTGCTCATTCCAAGCCCCATTTCTGCTTTCCCCAGGCACTTGCAGGCCTCCAGGCGGGCCGGGCAGCGCGGAGGGAGCGGCGGAGCCTCGGGGACCCCGCCGGGAAGCGGATGAGAGCAGCTCCGGCTCCCGCCCATCCCCTCGCGGCCGATGTCCGGAGCTGCCACGCCTGAGACACGCCTGTGCCAGCCCCGTGACACGCCTGTGACACGCCTGTGACACGCCTGTGACACGCCCGTGCCGTGCCCGCGCCGCAGCCCTGCCCAGCCCGCGCCGCCTCGCCCCGCGCCTGGGGCCCGCTGCAAGGCAGGTGTCCCAGCGGGCTGGGGAAGGGGGCCGGGGGGACCCCGCTGACCGCCCGCCCCCCCCGCAGTACCCCCTGATCGGCGAGTTCGGCGAGGAGCACATCTTCTCCCTCTACGAGGCCAAGGAGAACTCGCTGCTCAAGAGCGAGAAGGCGTCACTGCAGCAGCAGCTCAACCAGTTCCAGCACGAGGTGAGCGGGGACAGGGGGTCTGGGGGGGCTTTGGGGGTCCCCGAGCCGGCCACCCACCCCCAAATCCCCCCCACCTTCCCCCGGCAGCTGCAGAAGAGCAAAGAGCGGGAGGAGCAGCTGGAGGAGATGATCCAGGCCTACGAGAAGCTGTGCGTGGAGAAGGCGGACCTGGAGACCGAGCTGGGAGAGATGGTGGGTGGCAGCCACCGGCAGGGGACAGCAGGGCCCCTGTCCCCTCTCCATGACAGGCCCATGGTGTCCCCATCCTTGGGGACGCAGGGCTGGGGGGGCCGTGGCCACGTTGGGGTTTTAGGGGTGCTCAGATTTATCCATTTCCCCCTTCCCCCCCTGCCAAGGCTCCCGGTGCCAGCCGGGCACTCCCGGCTCCCCTTTCCCAGCCACGGAGCCCCCCCTGCCATGCCACGGTCACCAGACCGATCCCACCCCAAAAAGCGACCCCAAAATCCGCGTGTGCCGGGCTGGGGGAGCAGGATGAGCCCCGGGGAGGGGGTGCAGCATGGCCGAGGCTCAGCCCCATCCCCTCTGTCCCCTCCCGGTGCAGCGGGCGCTGGTGGAGACGCACCTGAGCCGCATCCGGATCTTGGAGCAGCAGCTGCGGCAGCGCGACGGCGGCGCCTTCCCCGGGCTGGGCACCCAGGACGTGCCTTTCATCGCCCTGCACCCCAACCCCGGCCTGAGCCACGGTGAGCGCCCCCTCCCCGCGCCCCCGCCCGCCGGGACCCCCGGGCGGAGCCGCGCTGAGCCGAGCCGTGCCGTGCCCGCAGTGCTGGAGCGCGCCGGGGGCTGGCAGAGCCGCGGGCTGGAGGCCGAGCTGGAGGCGGCGCGGCAGGAGAACCAGCGCGCCCAGCACCGCGAGGAGCACCTCAAGGCCGAGTGCGAGAGGCTGCAGGCCGAGCTCAAGCACCTGCAGGACACCCGCGAGCAGGTGCGGGGCCCGGGGAGCGCCCCCGGCCTGCCCGGGGGGGTCTGGGTGCCGAGGGGGGTCTGGGAGCAGGAGCGGGGCAGGGTCTGACCCCACAGGACCCCTCACTCCCAGTATGTGGGGTCTGGGTGCCGAGGGTGTTTGGGAGAAGGAACGGGGCAGGTCTGACCCACAGGACCCCTCACTCCCAGTATGTGGGGTCTGGGTGCAGAGGGGGGTCTGGGAGAAGGAACGGGGCAGGGTCTGACCCCACAGGACCCCTCATTCTTGGTATGTGGGGTTTGGGTGCTGGGAAATGTCTGGGAGCAGGAATGGAGCAGGGTTTGACCCCTTAGGACCCCCTCCCCATGCCCGGGGCGGGGTTTGGGTGCTGGGAAGTGTCTGTGAGCAGGAGCGGGGCAGGGTCTGACTCACAGGACCCCCTTCCCATGGCCGGGGCGGGGGTCCCGGGCTGAGCGGGGCTCTGCTGTCCCCAGGAGCAGTCGGAGCGGGACATGGCCTGGGTGAAGAAGGTGGGCGACGACCAGTAAGTGCTGGTGCCGTGCCGTGTCCCGGTGCCCGGTGCGGGCTCGGCGCTGCCTCCAGAGGGCACTGACGGCTCGCGGCTGCCGGGAGAGCGGCACCGAGCGGCACCGAGGCCGTGGCGGTGTCCCCCGACCCCCCCAAACCCCCAAGGGCTCACGGCGGCACCGAGGCGGTGGCGGTGTCCCCGGACACCCCCAAAGCCCCGAGGTCTCCGGCTGTCCCCGCTTTCGCTCGGCGCTGGCCCCGTTCCGCCGCTGTCCCCCCCGCGGGCGGTGACAGCGGGCCCGAGCTGTGACAGATGGGAGGCGACACGCGGGCCCGGGAAGGTGCTGGCTGTGGTTTTGGGGGCTGAGCCGTCCCCCGCTGCTCCCGAGGTGTTGGATGCTGTCGCCGTTTCTGTCGTCCTGGCGCAGATCAGAGCGAGGGGAGCCGGGGGGGGCTGGATCCTTCCCGGGGGGGCTCCCGCCGCTCCCTTCCCCTCCTTAATTCCCTCCGTTTCCATTAATTCCCTCCATTTCCATTCATTCCCTCCATTTCCATTAATTTCCTCCATTTCCATTAATTCCCTCACCCGAGCTCACCCCCAGATCGCCCCCCACCCCTCTCAGCCCCTTCCCGCAACATCCACGGAACTTAAAGCTCCCAAATATCTCCATTAACATTCCCCAGTCACCAAAATCTTTATTTTTTGAGCCCAAATTCACCACGCAATGGATGGGATGGGGAAACTGAGGCAGGGCTGGCTCCTCACCCCCTCCCCGGGCGCAGCTTTTCCCTCCGCGCTCTTTTCTTGTCGATTCAGCTCTTTTTTGTCACCTGCTTCTCTCCGCCACTGTTTTTTTGGGTGTGAAAAGCGCCTTATCGGCGTTTTCCATCTCCGGGTGATTTTCTGGTGCTTCTGCCGCGCTGTGCTTGGGGCGGGGGTCCCCCCGCGTCCCCATCTTCCTCCTTTTTTTTGGTTTATTTTCTGAGGTTTAGACTTTTCTTTGGTTTCTGAACTCGCGGTTGTTCCCTCTTGCCCTCCCTCCCGGGGAAAAACCAGGAGCCAGATCTTGAGAAAAGCCCTGAAAGAGCAGGGTGGGGGTTTGGGGGTCAGACCACCCCTCCCACTTCCCCGCTCCGCGTTTTTGGGGGGATTGTGTGGGTTTTAATGACTTTTGCACCCATGGGTGCCTGTGCCGGGCATGTCCCCACCCCTGGCTCCTCCAGCTCTGCAGCAAAAAGGGACCTGGGGGACACAAAGGTGACATCCTCTGTGTGCCCTCCACGGTTTTTTCTTTTCGTCCTTTTCGTCCTTTTTCTTCTTTTCCTTCTTTTCCTTTTCCTCCTCCTCTCTTTTCCTTCTTTTCCTCCTTTTCCTTCTTTTCCTCCTTTTCATACTTTCCCCTCCTTTCATACTTTTCCCTCCTTTTCTTCTTCACCTATTTTCTTTTCGTGTTGTTTTTTTTTTTTCCCCTCTCCATTCTTCCCCTCCTTTCCCCCTCACTCTTTCCCCTCCTTTCCCTCACCCTCCTCCTCACTTTCCCCTTCTCCTCGTCCTTTCCCACCTCTGTCTCCGCCGTGCCCGGGGGCCCGGCCCGGCCCGGCGCTGTCAGCCGCGGTTACGAGCGGCGGCTCCGGTCCCCGCGGTGTCACAACGGCTCAGCGGGACGGCGCCGAGCCCCGGCCCCGCGGGCCCTTTCTCCCTTCGCGTCCCCGCCGAGCATCCCGGCTGGGAAAGCGACACCAGCTTGGGGCAGAGTTGATGATTTTGGCAGCGCTTCCGAGCGCCGGGGGCGCGGGGAGCCGCGCCCGCCCCGTCCCGGCTGCTCCCGGAGCGCGGCCACAGCTGCTCCCTTTGGAGCGAAAAAACCGGATTTGGGTTGGTTTTGAGTTGGTTCTGGGGGGACAGCAGAGCTGTGTCACCTTTAGAGCCACCGTGTCCCCTTTGGGAATTGTCCTCTGGGTCGCGAGGTGTGGCAGGGGTGGAGAGAGGGAACTTCCGACACCCTGAGGTGTTTTTTTTCACCCTGGACCATGATTTCCTCAGGATTTTCCTGGGGAAATGCTGGAAGCACGATCCAGGCAGCAGCACTAAACCTTTTTCAGTTGTATTTATTAAACAACCAAACCAAAACCAAACCAAAAACCAAACCAACAGAAATTCCAGGGGGGAGGTCAAGCCCTGCTGAAGGGTTCCACCCCTGCTGGAGGATTTAACCCCCGCTGAAGGGTTTGACCCCTCCTGAGGGATTTCAGGGGGTTTAACCCCTGCCGAGGGGCTCCTCCCCGTGAACCCCAGGGCTCCCTTTGCCCGCAGGGTGAACCTGGCCCTGGCCTACACGGAGCTGACGGAGGAGCTGTGCCGCCTGCGCAACCTCAGCTCGCTGCAGAGCCAGATCCTGCGGGCGCTGCTGCAGGACAAGAGCCTCAACGGGGGTAAGGGGCACCCCGGGCAGGGGCGGGGGGCACAGACACCGGGAACGGGCGGGGAGCTCGTCCTGCACGTGGGAGTGAGCTCCGGGGGGAATGGGACCCCAAGGGCGCCCGGCCCTGGGAGTGTCCCACAGCAAGGGCGTCCCCAGTGGGGTGTATCCATCCCTGGGAGTGCCCACCCCAAAATATCCATCCCTGGGAGTGCCCACCCCTATCCATACCTGGGAGTGCCCACCCCAAAATATCCATACCTGGGAGTGCCTACCCCAAAATATCCATACCTGGGAGTGTCCATCCCAAAATATCCATCCCTGGGAGTGTCTATCTCAAAATATTCATACCTGGGAGAATCCCATCCCAAAAACATCCATAATTGGGAGCATCCATCTCTGGGAATATCCCGTCCCAAAATATCCATCCTTGGGACCACCCCATCTCAAAATATCCATCCCTGGGAGTATCCATCCCAAAATATCCATCCCTGGGACCATCCCTCCCTGGCGGCATCCCCCCCAGAATCTCCCATCCCTCTGGGGGTCCCCACGGACACACATCCCCTCCCTGGGATGCTCCTGGATGCCAAGGCACATTTCCCACATTTCCCACACCTTCCACACCCTCCAAGCCGCCGCGCTAACGCCGAGCATTTCCCCCTTGTGTGTCCCCCTTGTCCCGTGCCAGGCCAGCGCCACTCCCCGCTGTCCCAGTGCCACTCCCCGGCCCAGCAGCGCCGCTCGCCCGCCCCGCAGTGCCCCTCGCCCGTCCCTCCGGGCCGCTCCCAGTGCCAATCTCCCGCCCTCCAACGCCGCTCGCCGGGACCCCCCAGCCAATCTCCGGCCCAGCAGCGCCGCTCGCCGGCCCCCGGCCCTTGCCAGTCCCCCGGGCAGCAGCGCCGCTCCCCGGTGCCGCCCCCGAGCCAGTCGCCGGCCCAGCAGCGCCGCTCGCCCGCCCCGCCGCCCTGCCCGTCGCCGAGCTCGGCGTCCCCGCACCGCCTGCCCGGCGAGAGGATGGAGCTGGCCTACGCCAAGCCCTCGAGCCGCCACATCAAGGCCGGCTTCCAGGGCCGCCGCAGCTACTCGGAGGTGACCAACGTGGCCCTGTACCAGCAGAGCCGCTCGCTCTGGCTGCAGCCCGAGGCCTCCACGCTGCCCAAGCACCGACCCTACGGCGAGGTCTACCTGGGGGGCGCGGGGGCCCCGCTGAGCGCCCACGAGCCCTTCGAGGAGCACGTCCGCTTCGAGAAGCAGTCGTCGGACGAGGAGGAGTGGGCGCTGCCCAGCCCGCCCAGCCCCGAGGCCGGGGCCATCCGCTGCGCCTCCTTCTGCGCCGGCTTCCCCGTGCCCGACCCCGACGCCGCGCACCGGACGGCGGCCGCCTACGCCCGCGCCGAGCACGCCCAGTCCTGGCCTTCCATCAACGTAAGAAGGACCCCCCCGGTCTCCCCGAGGGGTTTTGGGGTGGGTTTGGCCGTGGGGAGCACCGAGGGAGCCCCCCCGGAGCGGTGGCGCCCCGCAGCGAGCTGGCGTGCCTCAGTTTCCCCGTTTGTCAGCCGGCCTCCCGGCTGGCTGGGGGCGGTGGGGGGGTTCTGGGGGGGTCTCAGCGTCGCCCTGTGCCCCCCGCAGCTGCTGCTGGAGACGGTGGACTCGGAGGTGCGGAGCTGCCCGCTGTGCCAGCTGGCCTTCCCCATCGGGTACCCGGACGATGCCCTGGTCAAACACATCGACTCGCACCTGGAGAACAGCAAGATCTGAGCCTTGCCCCCTTCCCCACCTTTGGATGCTGCATGGAAACACGCCGGGAGCGCCCGGCTCCCGAAATACCTCCAAGTCTTCAGTAGCTACGGAAAGACTGAGCCCCCCGCCCTCACCCGGAGCCCCCCGGAGCCCCCCGGAGCCCCCAGCCCGCTCGGAGCGGGTCCATCCCCGCCCGCCTCAGCCCCGTGCCAGGTTCGGATGCTCCGGCCCGGGTACCGGGATCACGCCGTGCCCGGCGGTGGCCGGAGGGGACCTGCCTGTGCCCCTGGGTGTCCCCTGTCCCCTCGAGTGTCGCTGCTCGATCTCAGGGAGGATCCGAGGGGCCAAGTCCGGCCCCCAGGAGCAGGTGAGGGGAAGGGGCCGCCCCTTCCCCGGCCCGTGGGGTCGCAGGTGGGGTCGGGGCTGGGGGCGAGGGGCAGCTGCTTGTTCTGGGTCCCCTTTGCCTCTTCCCGCCGGTTCAAGCATTTCCTCTCTTTTACATTAAAAGCACCCCCTCCCCCCCAATATCCCCCCTACCCACAATGATGCTGCTGAGAAACGAACCTGGAGGAGCAGCATGGACCCCCCCCAGCCCCCCAACATTGCACTGGGCTCCCTGGGGCTCCCCAGCCGGGGGCTGCAGGCGGCTGCTCACGCTGAGCCCCCCACCCTGTCACCCCCGTCCCCCCACGTTCGATCTACCTCAAAGCCGCCGGGCGCGGGGGGGCCGCAGCAGCGCCCCCCCTCCCCGAGCCGCTCCGCGCTGCATGATGTCCCCTCCGTGTCACAGCGCACCCCCCCGCGCGACGCCGGGACCCCCAGGAGGAGGGACCCGCCCTCGCTGCGACCACCGACTCCAATAAAACCTTTCCAGCGCCCGAAACGCCCCGGAGGGGGCGGAGGCGGCTCCTCTCTGGGGTCCCGGGGGGAGGAGAGCGGGGGTCCAGCTGGAGGTGCCCCCAGGATGGGGCTGGGGTCTGGGAGGAGTTGGGGGCTGGGCAGGGGCAGCTTGTGGGGGGGTGACGGGGTCTGGGGTGCCCTGCAGCTCCCGGCCCGGCTGGGGTTTATTGGGTGACACAAAACGGGACAGTGGGAAGGAAAACGCAGCTCGCGGTGACAGCGGGGACACGGCCGGACCCGGGGGGCGATGGGTGGCAGGGAGGGGGGGGTTCTGCCGGTTTTCCTGGGGAGGGTCTGGGCAGGGGGAGCTCCGCGCCTCCCTCCCTCCCTGCTCTGTGTTATTGGGGGTCCCACAGCCCCTCCTGCGGGCTGGGGGGGCCGGGCCAGCGCTGCGGGACCCCCGTGCGGGGCAGCCCCGGCGGAGCCCCCCGGGCACGGAGCGCCCGTCCCGGCCGGGCCGCTCCGGGGGGCTGCGGGGGATCCCGGCCCGGCCCCCCGAGCCCGGCCCGGCCCCAGCAGGGCGCGAAGGCGGCTCCCAGCCCGCGGGCCGATGGTGTGAGGAGATAAGGAGCGGGGCCGCCCCCTTATCGCCCCCCATCTCCGCTCCGCCCGGGCACGGCGCAGGAAGAGCAGCCCCTTCCCACCATCGCCCCCCGGGTGGGCACCGGCAGCTCCAGGGGGGCCGGAGGGAGGGGACAGAGCCGGGGGGGACACGGTGACCCCCCTTGGGGCCGTGATGCTGCAGGGACGGGTCCCCAAAGGCTCCCGCGTGGGGACGACACCCGAGCTGTGGCCAGGGCGTGGCAGGGCTGTGACAGGGCTGTGACAGGGCTGCGACAGGGCTGCGACAGGGCTGTCCCCAGCTGGGACCGGGCTGGGAGCCCGGCGGGGCCCGGCCCCCACCTTCTCCCCCGGATTTTTCTCTCTTTTTTTGAAATCACGTGATAAATGCCAAACGGCGGCCGCCGTTACTCATCCCGGTCCCGGCCCGGCCCCGCTTCCCCCCGGGGGCGGCACCGCTGACTCAGGACCTGCCGGGCTCCCCCCGGCCCCACGGGGACACCCCCGGGCCCCCCAAAACCGCCGTCCCTTCAGGAGGTGTCACCGGGTGCAGCAGCGTCCCCGCGGTGCTCGCGTGAGTCTGGGGGTCCTAGCGCCCCAAAGCCGCTGCCGGGGGGCTCCCCCTGCTCCCGGGGATCCCGCGATGCTCGCGGTGGCCGCGGGGCTCGGTGGCCGTCGCTCGGTGCCATGCCGGGCACTCTGTCACCCCCCGCCAGCAGGGTGGGGGGCAGCGGCCCCTCTGTCACCCGTGGGGACCCCCTGAGCCGCCAGGTCCCCCCTGTGGCCTGGCCGTGCCAGCTGCGGCGACAAGGGACAAGCCAGGCCTGCCTCAGCCGTGAGAGGGCTGGGGGCTTCTTGCGGTGACAGGGGCTGGGGTTTGTCACCTTCCCTGGGGGAATTGTCCCCTCTAAAGCCCGGGGATGTCACAGCAGAGGCACAGGGCACTGTCCCCAGGGCCACCCGGGGCTGGGCAGCACCCTCCCACCCCTGGTGGGACACACCTGGCTCCATGTCCCCCGTGTCCCCGTGTCCCCCGTGTCCCCGTGTCCCCATGTTCCCATGTCCCCGTGTCCCCCCTGTCCCCTCTGTCCCCCGTGTCCCCGTGTCCCCCGTGTCCCCCGTGTCCCCGTGTCCCCCGTGTCCCCGTGTCCCCATGTCCCCATGCCAGTGGGTCACACCTCGCCGTTTCCTAGGTGACATCTTCATTTTATTGTTTTTCCCAGCAAAACCCCCTCTTATTTTGGGCACCTTTAAAGTTTCTTTTTCCAGCTCTCAGTTGGGTTGGGGTTTTTTTTCCCCTTTTCTCAGTGTTTTTATCATTTAGGGGAAAAACGAAACAATTGTCACTGCTGGGCCCCGCTCTCCCCTGCGGGGGGGAGGGACAAGGGCACCGGGGACGCTGTGGAGGGGTGGCACTGTCCTGCTCCCCCAGGTGTGGCTCAGGACATTCTCTGGTGCCCTCCGCGGTGGCGCTGGGATCTCATTCCCGGCCGTTCCTTCCTCCCAGAGGGATCCCCGCCAGCCGGGGCTCCAGGGGGGCTGCGGGGACCCCCAGCCCGGCTCAGGGGACACGCTGCCATCTCGGCGTCCCCTCGGCCGGGGTTTATAGGAAACGGCTCTGCGAGGAAGTGCCCGGCTGGCTGCTGGCTGAGGGTTTTTTTCCTGCCGTGGGCGCCCCTGGGTGCGGGGGATCCGGTGTGACTCAAAGCCGGAGCCCTGGGGTTGAACCGCAAGCCCAGAGCTGCCGTGTCACGGCAGAGCCGCGCCAGAGGCGTTTATAAGAAACGGAGGGGCTGCCCTGAGGGGGGAGGGACCCCGCTGGCACCCCGTGGGGACAGCTCCCCTGGCCCCGGCTCGGATCTTAGCCCGGCTCTGCGGCAAAGGGCCTGGAGCTGCTGCGCCCCGGCCTCGCAGCTCAGCCCCTCCCGGGGTGCCTGGATCCCCCCAAAGTGCCCAAACCACCCGAGGCACACTGAGGTGACCCCAGGTGCCTCATCCAGCGGGGTGCCAGCATCACCCCTGGGTGGCTGTGCCCAGGCTGGAAATCCAGTGCCAGCATCACCCTGGTACCCGTGCCCAGCTGTGTTCCAGTGCCAGCACCGCCCCTGGTACCTGTATCCAGGCTGGAAATCCAGTGCCAGCATCACCCTGGTACCAGCACCACTCTGGGGTCCTCGGGTCACCCTGCGTGCCTTCATCAAACTGGGGGTCCAGGTGCCAGCATCACCCCTGGTACCAGTGCCCAGCTGTGTTCCAGTGCCAGCATCACCCTGGTACCCGTGCCCAGCTGTGTTCCAGGTGCCAGCACCACCCCTGGTACCCGTGCCCAGCTGTGTTCCAGGTGCCAACATCCCTTCAGGGTGCCCCCATCACTCCCAGGTGCCTCAGTCCTGTCCCTGCCTCACCCCGAGGGGGGCTGCTCTTTGTGTCCCCCCGGTTCTCCTGTCCCCTGCCTGTCACTGCCCTGCTGTCCCACTCCTGTGCCAGCAGCTCCGGGCCTCTCCCAGCCGCTCTTCCTGGAGGTTTCCACACCTGGGGACAGGGGACAGCGCTGGTGGCACCCGCGGTGCCCGGGCACCTCCTGCCCTTCACAGCCAGGGGAAGCCACTCCGTGTCCCCTCCTGGCCGAGGCACCGCGCTGTCCCTGCTGCCCGCCACGGGACCGGCTCTTTGCTGTGACCCCCTCCCCGTGCCCAGCCTGCGGGGGGGACACAGCGCGGCCCCGGCTGCCATGTGCCCAGCGCCACCGCGGCTGCCGCGGAGCGACAAGTGCCACCGGGCCCCCGGCGGGCGCGGGCCGCCCCGGAGCCGCCGCCTCGCTGCGGGGAGGTGACGGAGCCAACGCGCCGTGACACGGGGCTCGCGGAGCCCCCCCCGCCACGGCCAGCGCCTCGCCAGCGCCCGCCGGGGGGGACTTCTCGGCTGTCACAACCCATCTGCGTTGGGGACAGCGTCTGCCGGCGCCGTAAGTGGGGTTAAACTCGGGGTCACCCCGGTGGAGCATCCAAAGGGGGGGTCTGCTGGAAAGGAACCCCCCTCCCCAAACCCCTCCGTGTGCCCGCACCCCCCGCCCCCCTGTTGTCGCCAGGGTGGGACGCAGGGGGTGACGCTGTGGGAGGGACAGTAAAAGTGTCCCCTGGTCCCCGCGTGGGGACAGCGGCGGCGGTGGCCGGGCACTGCGGTGGCCCCGTGGCTGGCGTGTCCCCAGGGGCCGCTCCTCGGCCCGTGCTGCGGGTCACCGCGGCCACGGGGACACGCGGGGGACACGAGGGGGACACGACCCGCGGCTGGCCCCGCTCTGGCCGCTGGCCCAAAGCCCGGCACCGCCGGCGGCCTGAACTCCCGGTGACCGCCGGGACCGCGGCTGCGGCCACCGCGGGGCCACCCAGCACCGGGCCACCCTCCCGGGGACACAGCGCAGCGCTCCCGGGTGGATCCCGCCCCGATCCCCACGGGAGAACCGCGGCTGTCCCCGAGGGACAGGGACAGGCACAGGGACAGGGCTGGACCAGCGGCGAGCTGGGGACAGTCCGGCCGCGCCTGGCCGCAGGAGCCGG